GAGAAATTAGAAGTAACATCGTTTTGACTCCCTTCTTCTAGTGTTTCTTAATGTTAAACTCTGCCACCATTTCCAGGCCATAAGAAAGAAAAGAAAGGGGCTCTTCTGGCGTCTGTCCCGGGTGGACGGACATGGCCATGGCAACGAGGTGGCTGAGCAGGGTGTGGGGACCTGCTGGGGACCTTAAACAGACTGGCTTGTCTTGTCCAGGGGCTCTGGGACAGTCCCAGGTCCCTGTCTGGGCTCCCAACAGGCCACAGACTTTTCTTTCTTCTGCTGCCCACACAGAGGGACCGACAGCAGGTAGGAGCCTTCCCAGGGCTTGGTCTCAGAACTCTCAGGCCGAGTGCGGCCTTACTCACCACTGTGTGGGCATGGGACTCGAGCTGGGTTGGTAGTGCCCCTCAGCTGGGACACAGGATGGGTCGTGGCTTTGGTGAGGCGAGCCCACCCCTTAAGTCCTGGCCTCCCCTGCACCTGCCTTGTCCCAGGTGGAAATCAAAGCAGTATCCATGAAGCACCAACAAGAGCTACGAGTCTACGAACATACGCTCACACTCATACACTTGAGGCACGAGCTGCAACACTTGAGCGAAGAAGCTCTGGGACAGGGATCCGGAGGGGACATTTTCCATGAGCAGTCACAGTTGCTCTGCCTCTGAACTATGTGAGTGGGCTTTGGACAAAATAGACGTCTAGAACCATGAGCTGGAGAGCTCCTCACTTTACGGGGGCAGAAGCTGAAGGCCCGGACAGGGAGGTGACTGCCCATGACTTGCCTAGACCTTGTGGAGCTCTACGGCAGGTGGCAGGTGACTGTAGGGGACAGGTCACTCCTGGGCATGCAGAAACCCACAGTGGGCTCAGGCTCTAGCACGGCTAAGACAGCCCTGAGAGGCGATCTACTTACTTCCCACTCACTCCCGACATTTCCTAACAGCCGGGTCCACTGGTCCACTCTCTTTCCTTCCCAATCCAGACACTTTCTGAGATGACAATACAGGCCCTTCGCTGCCTCTGACAGACTACTACTTTGCAGAGACTCTGTCCTCGCCCACCTGACGTCCCACTTGAGGCCCCCGGGGCCAAGGCCATTTGTGGCCCAGAGACGGCCGCCATGCTTTCTCTTCTTCTCACTGGATTTTCTGGAGACCAGATTCAAGCAAGAAAAGAGTCTGACTTTTTCTGTGCATGAGCTGCTCTTAAAGAGAATTCCATTCTTCTCCCTGCTTTAAGAAGAAAATCAGTCCCTAGCTATTTTCGGCTATGAGTGTGAATGAAACTGCGAACAGGATAAATGATTTTCAGGATTTGAACTATACTCCGACTACATCCACAGGGTGGTCTGCACCCTCTCGTGCACCTGCTCCTGACACCAGCTCCACGAGACTGTCGTGGGAGAAGTCACTGCACTGGGGTTGATGGATTTGACTCCGCCGTCAATTGATCCATACCTCTTCTCTTTCCCACGGTACCTTATTATTAAAATGCCAGAGCGGCAGGGTGAAGGGGAGCCCATACATAATGAAGCGGCACAGCTCAAACCCGCTTCCCCAAGCTAAGAGGACAACGCCGGCCAACCTCTCCAAAGACTCAGCCTCGCTGCTTGGGAAACTGGAATTCAATCCAAGAAGCATGTGGGCATCGGTGGGCATGGCTGCCTACCAGTGTAGGGGTCTCCCTTAACGCCGAAGTGTGGCTACCAGCAACAGTCACCAGACTGTCCTGGTGTATGGCAGACCCAGTACCAGCCCTCTTCGGGCCCCATCTGGCCTGCCCTGTGCTCCCCAAGCTGCGATGCCAAGCCCTCCTCTTAGCACCAGGAGTGGTTCACGTGCTCTCAACTGGTAGTCCGCGATTCTCCCCAACGAAACAAAACATCTGATTTACTTCAGGAGGAATACTTTGGCGACCAGGATGGGGGGCAGAGGGCTGCCTCCACTCACAGTCCCGACACACTTGACTCTGCTCGCTAGCAGCCAGCTTGCCCATCAGTGGGGACTGGAGCTCCCACTCCCCGCTGCCTGGAAGACAGACAGACAGTCCAGGGCACTACCAACTGTGCCGGCAGAATCCCCTCTCCACATCTTGACAAAGCCAGTCTAACCACATCTCAGCAGCCAAAACCTGTCTGCCTCCACACATGGTGGCCTTTTGGCTGTCATTTTTACAAACTGAAACACATCTTCTCCATGCACCTACTTTTAACTCTGAGAAGCCAGAGGACTGAGCAGCGTTGGGGGACTTCCGTGGTCCCTGGTGGTTACATGCAGCTCCAAAGGAAATCCAGGAGGCATTCCTTTTGTTTGGTAAGCAAAAAACACACTGAAGCGATCAGAGCCACTGAAAGAGTTGTCACTGGCCAAAGACAACAACCACCCCCTCGCCCTGGGTACAGCCTGGACTCAAGACACAAGAAAAAGACACTTCTCGGAGAAGGAGGTCATTAGGAAGAAACAGAGAAAATGGAGTTTTGTTATTGTTTTTGCCATAAAAAGCTCAGGCTAAATCAAGAAATCTTCCCCCAAATTTGGTTGTTTTTTTTTTAATTGAATTGGACGACATTTTATTTTATTATCGTTATTTTTTTTTTAATGCCTACAGCACCCGGTCTTCCTAGGTGGTCTCCCATCCAAGTACTAACCAGGCCCAACCTTGCTTAGCTTCCGAGATCAGACGAGATCGAATTGGATGACATTTTAGAGATTTTCAAAATTGTTTTTTCTAGTCACTAAAAATGTATCAAGATGGTTGCTTTTGTCTAAATACATTAAATGCCTCAGAATTTCTTCAAAATAATATTTAACTATAATTTTTCATTAACTCCCTTTCTAAAATTTCTAACACTACAATTTTTATTCTTCATTATGACAGATATCGAGCAATCACCATGCAATCGTTATCAAAATCATAGTTTTTAAAAAGCGAGAAAGGCTTCTTTGGCAAAATCCATAACTGTAGGGGGACCATCTTGGCCTAGTCACTAAAACTGAGCAGTGGTGTACCATTGCAGCCACTTTGGGATTTTTGTTTTTTATTTTTTGTTTTAACCTGAAGAGATTTGCTTTTCTAGTTACTTATAACCACCTACATAGCCACAGCATATACATTCACATTATAAATGTGGGGGATTTTCCCCTTTGGGGCAATTTTACAGGAGAAAAAGGATTCAGATGGGGCCCTTAAGCTGTATCAAAATCTTTCCATTTCTCTCTT